GTCTACCATGCATCTGTGTTAGTTGAGCGATAAAATATTGATAGAGCGTGAACATTCAGTTCAGACATCACAAAAATGATGCATCAAATAAAATGCATACATTATTTTCGGGTATCACAGGTCAATTTTAACATATTACGAGTAAATATAATGTACATCACACGTGCATACAGTTCATTTTGCTACCATCTTTGTACTAGCCTATTCCTGGTCCTCTCCTTTTCTCTCCCAGACCCCGCTTGTCACCCACCCACTGACTGTGAGCCTGGAATAGGCCATCTGTGTACCTTTGGAAAGTACAATGCTAAAGAAAACGAAGAATCTGTTAGGTAGGCCAGTGGCATCCTACATAGAAGTCCTTATGGCTCATCATGCAATCTTTCCTTCATTGAGAAGGAAAGACTATGTGACGAGCCATACTAAAAAAAAAATTGAATTAGAAAAATACATTGTGATTACGACAAATAACTACTTTATTTTACTGAAAAATGGTCCAACTCTTTCAAAAAACTATTGGAGGACACCTGTGCAAATACAAATATTGTTGGTATCTATTTGTGACTTAAATTTATCAATATGTCAGTAACTGTATTGTATTGTAGTATTAGTATTGTTCTCAGTAGTATAGGTATTGTTTTGTTAGTAATATCGTATTCTAAGTAGTTTCATATTTCTTTAAGCTGTTTTAGTACCATATTGTTAACAGTATAAGTATTACTTTATTAGTAGTATAGTTTACATGTAAATAGTGTTTTGTAACTTGTTGTGTATGAAATAAATAATTTTTTCTTAGAAAAAAAAAAGAGAGGCTAGCAAGACCAGTAGCAAACCAAAATGGATGGTTTTGCCACAACTGTGCAGCCCATGGTGGACATGGGGGTGCTTGAGGTAAATCCTGCAATGGAGCCAAAGAACACCCTGAAACACCTAGCTTGTAGTTCTGCCTAGAATAGCGAAAGTGACACCTTAGAATATCTCTCAAGAGCAACAAACCACAAAAAACAAACATCAAAATAATAGCAAATTTCAGAAGCGTCAAATTCTACAAGACGAAATTTAACAACGGAATACATGCAGACATATGATCTCCTAAGCATTAGTTAGACTACTGCCAAACAGCTTCACTCAACCCTGTTGCTCCTACTAATATTATGGTACTGAGTGCTAAATAAGTTGAAAACTGAATTTAGAAGGAAAAGAGAACAGCAAATGAACAAATATCACGACCAACTGTTGGTCTATCACCCTATTAGAGGGTAGCAAAGAGTTTTCACGTTACGTGTGATGGCTCTAAAATTAGCAGTGTGAGGCCTGATTGAGACCAAATTAGCCACATGACACAGGACCCAACATCATAACGTGATCCATGATTTGCTATTTTACAAGCATGTGATGCATGATTTACCAATTAGATTTCCATGATAAGCGAGCATTCTTTGTACTAGAAGGATACCATTCATTCAAAGTAAATAGTGAATAGAGTCTTCAGGTTACCATGTAACAATTAGATTACGAGGTGATAGTTGATGAGACTGTAGGCGGAATCAACCATCAGCTCACAGAAATTGAGAGCGAATAATCTAATAGTTTTAGTAGAATCCTAACTGAAATTAATGCAGATAATTGGTTTCCAATTATTTTTCTTTGTATTATTAAGCTTTAACATGCTTTAACAAAATCACACAGACTGAATCGTCATTGGAGATTTGCAGTTATCTACACAAAAAAACGTTAGTGTCCTTCCTATAGTCTTCTTAGGAACTTAATTATCCATTTGGATCTAAACTTTCCTCCAAAACTTCGGGAAAACAAAAAAAACATCGCTATTTCATAGACAACTGGGGCCACTGCACTCTAATTAAGCACTAGAGTATTTCTATCGAGGAACTATTGGCTGATAGTTTCCCTGCGGATATTTGATGTTCTTAAAACAAATATTT